TAAACTGGCAACGGAGAAGTTCATGACTATCATTTATGTACATTTGTTATTGTTATAATGCTTGTATTCTAGTACTTTTAAATGAATCTGAAGTATTTACAGAAACTCTCTCGAGGAGTGCAAATTTAGATTTTCACGTATTTGTAAAAAAATTGTAATCGTTCTTATACAGTATTGATTAAATGTATTCTGCATGATGAAAGAATCTACATATTTACTCTATTTGTCCAACTGATGATTGCCGTCTAAATGTACTCGGCATGACGGATGCAATTCCTAACGTTATCGTCACTGATATTCAGGAAAGCTTCAAAAACCATATTTTCTGGAAAATCACACGAACGCCAAATCATATCATTCTCCTTGATCCAGCTTTTGGTCTGTGAAAATAGATTTTCGCATGGATTGAAATCTGGGCTGTATGGTGGCAAAAATAGGATCAAAGCACCAGTCTGATTGATTGCATTGATTACAGCATCSGTGTGATGTATGGCTGCATTGTCTAAAATGAAAAATGGGCAAAATATGTAACCATTTTTTAAACAACAMCCGAGAGTGARGRCATTAACAAATTAATTAAACTCACTACTGAAATAATAAAAATAATTGAAAATTATGAAATGTCAAGAAAAGTTTGATAAGGATAAGTTTCAGTTGTGAAATTGCGTTTTCTATTTCTGGGATCACCTAGTGAAATTTCGATGTTACCATTGTTACTACATACCCATAACGACAATTGAGCGCGGATTTTCGCCGTTGAATGGCAAAAGCACAGGGGCAAGCACATTTCGTACAAATGTCAAGAATGTTCCTTCGTTGACTTTCCCTCTATAGATTCCAACATCTAGAATACCCTCAGTTGATATAGCTGGTATAGCAGTTATTCTTGGCCCCCAGTTAGTGTGCTTTCTTTTAATTTGGGCTCTCGTACCACGAAAACTGTATCCAAAACGTCTACGAATTCTTTTATCCTATTGAAAAAAATTGTTTTAAATTTCATTAGACTTTGTAAAAACTATTTTCAAAGAAAGGTTAAAATACTCACAAAACTACTCTCATCTAAAAATACTAGCATATCAGGTGAAAACATACTAATATCGCACCAGTATTGCGCCCTTCTGTCCTCATTTCGCTGCAATGCAACCTCGTACACCTAAAAGAATTACCATTTTYATCAACATTGAATCATAGTCGAGAACCGAAAATTAATGACGAGAATTTTGCCTCCTGGCTTACCTTCTTATGTGTTACATCGTTGCGTTTTAAATAGTAGTGCAAAGCAGACGCTGCGAACGTGAAGTTAGTTTGCGCTTGTATTTCATGTACAATTTCCATCAAAGTAATATCTGGTCTTTCAAGAGTTAATTCAAATATGATTGATTCTTCTCGTGGAGTTAGTGAAATCGCTCCGTTCCGACGACCAAGCGTGTTATTTTGAAGTGAAACATTATTAGCGATTTTAGCTAAATAACGCTGTATTGTCCTCTTAGAAACGCCAAGGAAGAACGAAGCATCATCGACAGAAACTTTTAAACCCTCTACCAACCAGATAACCCTCAAGCGTAAGTCGAGAGCGTATGGAGCGGGCATGTCTTATTACCCATAACTCCCTGCAGTCTTGGCATAGACTATCGACACTTGGCGATGACAACGTTTTTTGAAATAGCTATATACACGTCTGGATGCGCTTGAATGAAAGTCTAAAGTTTTGTGTTTAAAGCTTTGTCTCAATTGTTTCTCAAGGCAACATTTTGTGGCACAATGTCCAAAACCGCCAAGCTGTAGAGCGTGCAGGAAAAAACATCATCCGACGCTTCATGTCGATGATCTACACAAGGAAAGTGTCGAAGTTTCAAGTTCATCAAAGTCTGTTGATGATAGTACGTCGAATGTTTCTACCTTTGTGGAACAATCATTTATTCTTAAGRAGGAAGTTTTGTTGGCCACTGCACTGGTTTATGCTGACTCTAACGATGGTCAGAAGATATTATGCAGAGTCTTAAATGATCCAGGATCTCAGTCAAGTTTCGTGACACGTGCTTTTGCACAACGTTTACGTCTAAGACCTTCGTTGTTGAAGAATGGAATCAACATAAATGRCAYTGRASGGATTTTGAAAGGAAYTTTAAATCATGCTGTGGATTTAAATTTGTCATCTGTGCACTCTGAGGAGTTTCTTATGGTTAATGCTTTGATGATCGACCAAATTACATCCAATGTTCCTCGAGGCTCTGTTGTTGACACTAACTTGTCTGGATTAAATGGTTTACAATTACAATTTTGCTACTCCTGGTCCCGTGGATATTCTCTTAGGTGCAGATGYATATCCTYTWCTGATTGTAGATGGTATGGGAGTGCGCAAAGGTCTCGATGGACGTCTGCTCGCACAACAGTCTATTTTTGGATGGATTATCACTGGGTCGACTATCGTAAAGGCAAAGTTTTCTGATGATGACAAGGTTTCAGATGAAAGCAGTCTGTCGCATTTCGTGGAATTGGATGATTTACTGAGAAAATTCTGGGAGATTGAAGGCACTCCGCTCGTAAAGCCGTGGTCGATTGAGGAGAAATTAGCTGAAACTCACTTCATGGAAACAACTTCTCGAAATGAAAATGGTCAATACAYTGTTGCTTTGCCATTCAAGGATAACGTTGTTCTGGGAGAAAGTCGTTCTCAGGCTCTTCAACGTCTGCATCAAATGGAAAGACGCTTGAGTCGTGACTCTAAACTCAAGGAAGATTATTCTGCAGTTATGCGCGAGTATCTGGAGTTAGGTCACGCTGAGAAGGTGCCCGAAGAGGAATTGAAATCTAATAACGCTTACTACATGCCTCATCATGGTGTTGTGAAAGAGTCCAGCTCGACTACCAAATTAAGAGTTGTTTTTGACGCRTCTGCCAAGACGTCTACAGGACATTCTTTAAACGACTGTTTGATGGTTGGACCGAAAGTTCAGCAAGATTTAGTGTATATTCTGATGCGTTTTCGTCTACATCCTGTCTGTTTTTCTGCAGATATTGCCAAGATGTACAGGCAAGTCATTCTACGCCCTAACGACCGTGATTTTCATCGCTTTCTTTGGAGGGATGACCCGACGCAAGAGGTAAAGGAGTACAGAATGACAACTGTGACATTTGGTGTGGCGTCATCTGCATATCATGCCCAACGATGTTGTGACGGATTGGGAAGTCAACACGATATTGAAACATGAAACCTCTGCCATATGTCTTCCCTCAGACAAAATGAATTACAACCACTCAATAACTTGAAACTATTTAATATTTATTTACTATTGATATTAAATGACTATAGAGACGTATACTGCTAAATAAATATTAAATAACTATAAAGACGTTTGCTTTACTAAATAAATATTAAATAACTATAAAGACCAATGTGTGAGTATTCTTTGGTAGTTTTGTGCGTTGGTATTCAAACGTTCCTCCTCTTTCTTGTCTTTAAGTTCGTTCCACGATACTTCTGATCACACTATACTTCGCTCTGGTTTAGTTCCGTTCACAATATACTTCTTAGTTCAGTTCACAATATACTTCTTATCTTATCACTTTATTCAATATACTTCTTAGTACGTTCAGTTCACAATATACTTCTTAGTTCAGTTCACAATATACTTCTTAGTACGTTCAGTTCACAATATACTTCTTTTGTTACTGCTAACAGACTCACTTGTTACATGAACTTCATCAATGTGCTTTCAAGGAGACTCTGACGGTCTGCTCCCTTGTTTCTCGGACGCCTTACGGGGACTCTGAAGGTCTGCTCCACGTAAACAGCATTAACTTTCTCTGCACAATGATCTTCGTCTTCCTTGAACGTTTTTTTTCCCTCACGAGCCGCGTTGGGCGTATATATACTCACTGGTCCAAAATTTACATATCCTTAAATAAACACTTTCACTCAAGAATGCTAACTTATGACTTAATTAGATGAATGGAATTTCATCACAGATGTTTGATTAAGCTGGCTGATGACGAAGCAGAGGAGTATCCACTCGCCTCATCAGTYGTAAAGAGAGATGTGTACATGGATGATTGCTTGTGTGGTGCAGCTGATTTATCTTCTGCTATGAAAACCCAGCAAGAACTTRTTGACATGCTAAAAGGTGGAGGATTTAATTTGAGGAAATGGTCTTCAAATAGTGTTAAGCTACTAAAGGMRTTACCACAGGAACTTTGTGAAATGAACATTGACTTTGATTTAGACATTGCACAATCTAATCACGTCATCAAGACCTTAGGAATGTATCTTTCTCCAATTAAAGATGATTTTCTGTTCAAGGTGCAACCTATTGAAAGTTTGTCTGATGTTCAAAGTTTCACCAAGCGTTTGTTCCTATCTGATTCTTCRCGCATTTTTGATCCCTTGGGTCTATTGGCGCCTGAAGTCACTTTGGAGGCTTGTGGGAGGCGGGGATAAAGAGTATGAAGTATCACCTCCGTAGAGTCCTTGGAAATGTAAGTTTGACTTATGAAGAGATGTATACTACTCTAGAAGATTGGAAGGTTTTGTCCCTAAGGAATAATTCTTTGGGGGGACTTCAGGCACGCGTAAAATTTACAAAAGGTGTTTTGCCGTGCAGAAATTCTTTTTTCAAAGTATTAACAACACTGTCAGTAATGAAATTACATTACAACTTTTTATTGCTAGTCTTTGTGTAGTAAACCTCTACAAACACTTAAAAAACGCGCCTTAATTAATGATAATAAAAAACTGACTTAAATTCCTTTATAACGTTTGTTAGAATCTAGACCAAAAATAAGATCAGAAAATATTATTAATTAATGTAGCTTTTCACTTGGCTTTTATTTAACTCTTTACACTAGACACTAATTATTGTTCATCAAAGACCATTCTATTATCTTTTTACAAGCTGACATGTTTTATTATTATCAGAATGCCTACTAGTATTTCATTGGTTTAGTGTTTCAAATTGCTATAACAGAAGCATGCATTGTTGTTCTATACTTGTACCTACAACATCCAAGGCACTTTAGTTAAATTAGGTAGGAAATCATCGACAAATTACTAAGATTATGATTCAAATTATACATTTTTATGGCTGGTTTAAAAATTTGTTGTAAAATTTCTTTGAGTATTGTAATTTTGATGTGTACATACCATACCATAACTATTTCTTGATTTCCTTTTTTGCCATTCTTGACTTGTGTGCTTTGATCACTTCCTCTTTTGGAGGCTTTGGTGTTTTTGCGATGTTCTGTGGAATGGATGCTGGAGCCTTCTGTCGTGGCAAAGTAAGATTTGATTGTTGGCATTCTTTCATGTCATCCAAGAGCGTCTTTACAAAATCAAATGATTYCTTTTYCAGTATCGGCTTTGCGACCCATGCCTGTCTGTTTTTGGGAAAAACTACCTTGTACCTAAATTWAAGTACATAATTATTAAACATAATTTAAAGTGATAATTATATGATAAGAAGCTTTTTGTAGTCACATAYCTGCTTTCTCCAATATTCTTTCCCTTTGTGACTGTTGCTTGAGCTCTGTTGCAGTTGTAATTATGGTCCATGACAGCAAGCTGAGTCCTGCCAACCATACCTTGATATGAAAAATGCTTTCTCTTTGGGGCATAYTTTAAAATAAGTGAATGGAACACTTCTAGATTKCCTGTGYGGTGGTACTCTGTAAGCATTTTTATATMTTTTAACAACTTCTTGTTGTTTACAATTTCCTCCATAGCGACATGAGCACTTGATCCAGGTTTTAGCCATGCAATTTYCTTGCGTTCTTTATTTGAAAGCTTTGGGTGCTTGCAAGACACTGTTTTCTTGCCTAAAATATAACATTAAATAATAATAACTTTGCTTTTCCAATAAAAATGGCTTTAAAAAAGWAAATTACATTAAGTATATATAAATATAAAGGCAAATAAATACAATGTATATTCTTAGTCTATCAATACTTACTGTAAAATATAGCTGATAGATTGTATGCAAMAACRCATTGATTCAAATATAATAAGGAATTGCTAGAGTAACAATAAGTAAATTTTATATTTCTTGGATTTAATTGTAATCAATCTATCAGGTGAACATTATTGAGTTATACAGTTATAAAATTTRYTTTAAATATTTAGGTACCTTCCTTCCAAGTATGTTTGTCAGCTATATGATTGACAATGGATACCCAGTTGTTCACTAGAACATCAGCATCACCACCACACTCTTTGGCGCTCCACCACAAATGGTTTGATATACTTCGTATCCATGGCTTAAGTTCTAAATT